CAGAGGCGGCGCGGTGAGGGGCGGCGTTGCAAGGGCGGCGGCGAGGTTAGGTTAGGGAGGGAAGGCGGAAATGTGTGGAGGAGGCCGCGGCGCAGCGGCGTGGAGACGCGGCGGCGTGGTGCGGCAGCGGCGATGAGTTCGCGGCGGCGGTGGCGGCAGAGGGTTAGGGTTTGGGATCCAAGGTATGATACCATGTTAAAAACGAGAGTTTTGGCAATGCTACACGATGTATTGATTGATGCATAATCTTAACTATACAATGATTAGGAGGTGGGCGGAGGTATACAATATACATGGACAAACCAACCATATGTTCAACACTGTCTATTATCATCCCGGGTAATCCGTTATCCTCGGTGGAAGGGAGAAAAGCTGATGGGAACTTCACACTGGTAGTGGGCACGCGCACGCATGTAACAACGACCCACCCAATCGCATCGCACCACCCCACTTGCGCATTCATATTTCATCATGTCCACACCCACACGGAAGCGCCGCCCGTACGATGATTTTACGTGGGCGACGTCTTGACATGTGTGTCAGCCGAAAGCCGCCCCTCGCTGAACCTTCTTCAACACTCGACATGATGATGTTGCCGGAACGGGTAAAGCAAAGCGCGCCACTGGCACCGGCGGTGCGCCTGCCAGGCTGCCACTCACGCAATTTTATACGGCTTCATTCATGCCTTGCTTTTCTTGTGATCGCAACAAAGGACGCCGTGTTTTCTATTTCAGCTTATCAAAAGGGGATGGAGAACAGCTCACGAGTCATGAGCACAGCAAGGCTGGGAGCACACCGGCTGATGATTAGAGTAGCATTATCGTAAACAAATCCCGGAGAAAACAAATGGCTTAAGCTGGCGGAAAGATCGGCAGCAGTCAGCACTCACACCAGTGAAGTGGAATAAATTCTCTACTGCTACCAATATACAAGCACAGGTGGATGTCACCAAAGCCTAACTCTGTCCCTCTCCCTCACTCACTAAACTCGAGAGGGTCGTACTAAAAAAAGCCAAAAACAAGTTATTAATACCCCAAGCTGAAAGAGAAGAGAAAACAATGCACCAATTAACTCCAACTGGATTAGCTTCTGACACTCTGATGACGGCTGCTCTGCTAGCTAGCCATGCTCTGATCGATCCAGCCTTTTCCAGCCAGCCCCAGGGTCCAATCTTGGCTCAGAGAATCCAACCACGCCCGGATTACCAGGCCCGAATCTATCGTCTGGAGTTAAATTAAATCAAATCCGTACTCCAACTCGACGCAAGGAGCTGGTTGCATCTGTGATAGTACCACCGGCATCGGCATGTTGCCTAGTTGCAGTCGGGCTGAGTTCAGTAGGCCGGCATGAGGTGTGAGATCTTGCCCTCCTCGCCAGGCGTGGCGGCCGTGCGGTCGGTGGACCGGAGCCAGATGCAGACGGCGGAGAAGCTGAGCACGAGGCTGAGCAGCCCGCTGCCGAGGCCGATGCCGACGATGGCCAGCACGGAGAGCCCGTGCCCTCGCATTGGCGGCAGAGGGTACCCGTACAGGTCCTTGTTCCCGGCGAACGAGCTGGCATTGAACCTCGCCGTCGTCCCCGCAGCTACCGCCCCGCCGCCGCCGGCGATGCTGCGGTTCGCGAGGAGCACGGGGATGGGGCCGGACAGCCGGTTGTACGAGACGTCGAAGGTGGAGAGACGGACGAGGAGGCCCAGCTCGTCGGGGATGGGCCCGGAGAGCTGGTTGCCGTGGAGATCTATGACGTTGAGGTAGGCGCAGCTCGCGAGCTCCCGCGGGATGGCACCGGAGAGGGCGTTGGCGGAGAGGTTGAGCACGGCCAGGTTGAGCAGCTTGGATAGCTCCGTCGGGATGGCCCCGGACAGCGCGTTGGAGGACAGGTCCAGCGACTGGAGGTTGGTGCAGTTGGAGAGCTCCGGCGGGATGGAGCCTGCGAGGGAGAGCCCGGGGAGGGAGAGCTTGTAGACGCGGCCGTTGTTGCAGGTGACGCCCTGGAGCTTGGAGATGAAGCCGTCACAGGGGTCGGTGAAGAACGACTTGGTCCAGTTGCGGAGGGAGAGGGACTCCTGGAGGCTCGACAGGCAAAGCTCGTCGTTCGGGTCGGCGGCAGACGGCGGTGAGAGCAGGACTAGCACGGCCGCGACGGCGACGGCGACGGCAAACGGCGGGAAGTGGTGGTGTTGGCTTGGTTGGGACATTTGGGGACGATGGGGGTGGTGAAAGGGGGAACTTCGGCGGTAGTGGGGATTTGGGGGAGCGTGTCACCCTAGCAATAAAAATGTTATAAGGCGGCTGTCTGTTTAGCTGGTTTTGCAACAGGACCCGTGGCTTTAGGCTGATCTCATTTGCTTTTTTCTGCTCCCTCCTCCGCCCTGGTTGATTAGTCCCTCTGTATTTAGGTCATAATTTAAATTAATAATAAAATAAAGATTATACATAGCATAATAATAATATATTAAAACTATATTCAAATACGAATCCAACAATGTAATTTTTCGTGACACACATTAATTATTTTTTAGTTAAATCCCTGGTCCAAATTTATCACAAAATACAAACGAACTATTGGGGTAACCCATTATAGGTAGAGTTAAGAGAGGTACATTCTGAATCATACGTGGGACCCGCAACGCCAGACACTGAGGCATATGGGTCTCAAATCCATTCGGGCATCAGTCAAGGTTCCTTCCATTCGGACACCACCCATCCACTTGGCTGCACTAAGCTCATTGGGTTACCTCATAGTGATTCGGTCAGAGGGAGATAGACGGTCCGAGCGAACACTAAAGCGCTAAGAGGTGCACGCCTTCGTGCATTACTAGCACTCAATACATCAGTTACCATGCGTAACACCTGTAATAATTCATGTTAATCGAATCCCTCTTTGTAACGTATCTAGCTCAAGGGGCGGTGCACTCTATATAAGTCGCCCCGTAGCACAGTAAGAGGGGTTCGCATCCATTGTAATCATCAGACACTAGAGAAGAAAACACAGCTCCCAGAGCTCGAGACGCAGTGTTATTACCTCCTCCGAGAGGGGTCCGAACTCGTAAAACCCATGTGTCACGCTTGCACCCTTGCTTGATCTAGCCCTTGTTCATACCCCTAATACTCTCTGTCAGAGTAACTCCCTCCCACGCTACGGACCAATAAATCAGGATGGAGGTAGTATTTGTGTTATAGTTTACAATATCGTTCAAAGATCATGCTCTTAAAAGTGTTGAAAAAAATTATATATCATGCTCTTAAATTGAAACTCTTGTCTTACAAACTACACCCTCCATTTCAAACTATATGAACTTCTATGTTCACTCATGCCACGTGAGCGCTCAGTTAGCTTCGGCTTGTTAAGGGATCCACGTGTGTCAGCAATCCAGGCATTACACGCCCGCCCATCATGTGCGGTTTTACACGCTCTTCAAGATTTCTCTCGAAGTTAAGTTCCGCCAAGCTATACTCTAAAATAAACATGGTGTTCAACACATGTCTTGTTTTGAGGAGTTCAAGCATTCTTCATCTTGCATTATGAAGTGCAATTCTTTCTCTCTTATCTTTTGAGGTGGTGTTATTTCACTCTTGACAATTTCCCTTCGTGTTTCATGATTCACAAGTTGTCCGGAATGACATATCTTAAACCCATCATTTTCAATTAATTCATGAGATCCTTTGCAACCCATCATTCTCTTCATTGGAGTTATCTTGGGTTATATTTACCTAAAGCTTTCCCTAAGGATTGTTGCTATTTATGGTGCTCATAAATGACCCAAGTTCTTCATTCATTCTCCCGGTGAAATAAATTTCTCGTCTCCTTGTTGATATCAATCCAATCTATTGATTCCGTTAGTGGCTGGTCTTCACCTCATAATTTTGGGATGTTTTCCATAAGACCACTGAAAATCATATCTTTCGTTGTTGGTTTTCCAACAACTCCGTTATAACCTTCTCGGAAGGGTGCTCCCCAAGTTCATTTGTGGCAGAAGTTGTCATTTTCTTCTTCGTTCCTTTATCCCAACATTCTAGCTTCTATTCTTTCGTTCCGGAGGCATTGTGATGTTACACTCTTCGATCCATCATCCCATTTTTGTCAAAGATCATGTTCTTTCCTTTGCTTATCCATTCAACCGGAGTGTCGTGTCCTTCATTCAAGTTCTCTCATCTTATCAAGTTTTGCCTCCCTTCTCAACTGGAGTGCTGTCTGAAATTTTTCTTACCCCTTGTGCCATTCTTCCAATAGTTCTGAAGGCAGTGTGTTGTTGATTTCATCAAGTATCCTCTCATCTTGTCAAGTTCATGTTAAATTCCTTCCATTTACAGTCGGAGTGCTGTCCAAATTATATCATTCTTATTCCTTCTCTATCTTGTTTTAATCGGAGTCTCATCCAAGTGCTTTCATTTTTCCAAGTTCATATTCTATGCCTCCCATTTTCCAATCGGAGTGTTGTCGTAATTGATATTTATCGTTCCTTGTACATCTCGTTTCAACCGGAGTGCTTGCATGTGCTTCTTGTCCATTGTTCTCGTCATTCATAGCTTTGCAAACTCCAAGGTTCACATGGTGTTCCTTGTTTCTCTTTTCTACCGGTGTGCTTTCATATTCTTTTTGGTCTGTTATGCTCTTGTTTCATGTCCTTCAACCTACAAGGTTCTCGCAATGTTCCTTGTTCCTCTTTTATAACGGAGTGTTTTCAACTTCTTACATCTTTGTTGGATTCCTTATTTCAATTTGTTTAACTTCTCAAGGTTCGTTGGTTTCACTCTTTTATCAAAGAAGCAACTTTGTTGTACCTCTTGCTCTTCCGCTTCTCTCCGGTGCCATCCTTAGATCTCGGGACGAGATCTCTTGTAAGTGGAGGAGTGTTGTGACGACCCGAGACCGACGCTCCAGAAGCCTTCCAGTTATTTTGTTGTTGCCGTGTGTTTTATTTATTTGTTGCATTCATCATGTCATCATCTGCATTGCATCCTCATGTTTTGAAAACTTGCATCCGTCCAGGTCTCCCAGTTCTCTCTGTTGTCTGTTCCGAGCCCAACCACACTCATACGCGCCCCCGACACCTCCGAAATATTACTTTATAAGTGGCATAAAAATGTTCTCGGAATGGGTTGAAAGTTGGCGTGCGGTTTTGTTATAGTGTAGGTAGACCGCCTGCCAAATTTTGTCGCATTCGGAGTCCGTTTGATAGCCCAACCGTTAAACATACAGCTGCAAATATAATCGGTTTATTCGTCAGATGTTTCGGTCTCCAAAACTACCGTTGGGCCTCTCCTTCTCTTCTCTCCTCTCAGCCCAAGGCCTCTCTTCACAGCCCACTCCCACTCTATACCAGCCCACCAACCCCCCCACCCCGACTGGAACCATCGCGATCGGAGGTCCGGAAACCCCTCCTAACCCTAATCCTAGCCCCCTTTCCTATTTAAAACCCTTCCCTTCCATTTTTGGCAGCCACCTACCCCTCCTCCTCAATTTCCGCACCGCTAATCATCAGCCGCCTCCACCCTCTTTGTGTTCCGCGCCGACCACCTCCCGCCGCCACTTTGCGCCGTCCCACGGGTCGCGTCATTGCCTCAGCCGTCGGCTCGGCCAGCCACGTCGCCCCGCAGCTCTCCCACCTCCCGCGCCCTGCCAGGCCCATCTGGGGCCCGCTGAGCCCATCGGAGCCTGGATCCCGCCGCTACTTCCGAGAGCCCCGCGCCCTGGTTCCCGTCCAGCCCCGCTACTGGCCGGCGAGCCACCAGAGACGCTCGACGGCGCCGGATCCAGCAGGCCAGTGCGTCCTCGCCTCCTTCCTTTCCCCACTCTCTCCCTCATGCCCTCTCTGTCTCCCTCCAGGGAGCCTCCATGGCGCGCTGTGCTCGGAGCTCCGCCCGCTGTCGTTGTCCATCGTCGTTCCACCGCCAAGCTTCCGGCGTCCGCGCCACCCTGCCCTCTCGGATCTGCCCGCCCCGGCTTCTTCCTCGTCGGATCTGGCGGATCCCACCTGGATCCGCTCGCGGGTGCTCGTCCCCGGCCTCCCTTCGCATCGGCATCGACTCCTGTCGCCGTCCCGCGCTGTCGGCCGCGTCCAGTCCAGCGCCTGCTCGTGCGCGTTGACCCTGTGTGGGCCGCGAGCTCTCTAGCCCAGCCAGCCTGCCCACCTGGGCCACCGCAGCCTCCAGCAAGGCCCAAGCCAGATCCGGCCTGCCTGGCCTCGTCCACCGACCGGCCCATGAGGCCTGGTGAGCAGCCCCCCAGCTTTCCTGTGCACTTCTGGGCATGCCAGTTTCGGCCCGTTGTTATTTTTTTCCTGCCTCTACGATTTAGCTATTATTCTAGAGAGTGCAGTTTTACAGAAAAGACCCTAGTCATCATGCATTTAATAACTCACCAACCATGCATCACATGTAAAAACTTCATATATGTAAAATTCCTAGAATTTCATCTAGTTTCATAATATCCAAATCTCATCCATGTTTAAAATGTTTAAAATGCCGTTTGATTAAATTTGCTCATATGCCATGTTAAAATGATTTAATTCATAACTAATTAACCGTAGCTCGGATTTAAATAAACTGCATATGTAAATGGGGTAGAAAATGCCTAGTTTAACATGGTGCACTCATCTTGCATGTTTAACAAATCTAAAATATGGTTTAGGGCAGAACAGTACCAAAATCATAATATGCATATGGAGATTTTCCGGAATTGTTTTTTGTTATTTTCCGGCCTCATTTAAACTTGCCTAAATAGTTAGTTTACTTATGCTTCACCTCTTTCCATGTTTAACAACATTTAACATTGTTGAGTACCTAAACGAGAGCGAACTAAATAATTGAATGTGGTGTTTTGTCAATATGCATCTCGTTGCATATTGAGCTCCACTTAACTTGTAGTTTTGTTTGTGCATTTTGCCATGCCATGCATATTTAAACCGGACATGCATCATCCTTGGTTGTGCATCATGCCATGTTTATGCTTGTGTGTTTACCATGTTGCTTGCTTCTTTCCGATTTGCTTCTCTCGTTAGCTTTGGTTTCGTTCCGGAGTTGTGAGGATTCGTTCCACTACATCCGTTTGTCTTCTTCATGGACTCGTTCTTCTTCCTTGCGGGATCTCAGGCAAGATGACCATTACCCTCGATATCACTTCTATCTTTGCTTGCTAGTTGTTCACTCTATCGTTATGTTGCGCTACCTACCTCTTGGTTATCATGCCTCCCAT